AAAGCCCTCCATTTAAAATGCCACATCCATCAGATGTGAGGAGACAAGATGATAGGGAAAAGCAGTCTGTACATGCTCATAGTTTTTCTAACAGAAACAGACAGTATTAGAGATTTCCTCTTACATGTCATCTTTAGATGAATTCCTGAAGACGTAAGAGAAGAAAAAAGTAGTGTGTAGAGAATTAGTGACTCCTTGTCATCTGAGAATCCATGTTCTTCTCTCTGTACTTGCTAAGAAAACTGCAGCTGGCAGCTATGAAGAGCGATCAATGAAGACCCTGATCAGTCCTGCCAGCAGCTATATCTGTGATGACTACTCTCAAGGAAACCACTATTCAACGGAGCAGTTCCTTTATTTTGGTTGAGGGCAAAGCAAACAGCATCAGGAAGAGTTACCATGTTTATGTTTCAGAGATATAAAAGAGGATACACTCAACTACACTGTCAAATTGTGACACATTTGTTTCCATGGATCAAAATTCAATTTTCTTATGTTATTGGTTATATAAACTCTAGTCAACAGTATGGCACAGAACTGAATTTTGTCACAGAATGCAAAGCCAACATTCTCTTGTTGAACTGGTCTACCATGAAGACTTACAGACAAAATAAAGCGAATTTCATAGATTCAAATCAATTTCTCTGCCTGATATATTTTTTAACCCTTAGCAATATTGAAGATGGACAAAAGGAAACGGGTCAAGAAAATGCACCTTCAGGTTACTTAGACGTGAAGGGAAATCTATTGCTTCTTTGAAATTACCAAAACTAAATCACATCTGGAGTCTGGAGGAAATTGGAGGGAGCCGTTTGGAGGATGCTCTTTGGGCAGCACAACGCCTGGCTGTGGTGGTTTTCTGCAAAAGTAGTGATCAATTCTTTGGTGTTCCACCTGGAGGTGTAGCTGGTGGAGGTGATCTTTGGCCCAAACTGAACTATAATTGTGGAAATGGAGTGGGTGAGATAGGCCTTGTTGAGGGTAGACATGATGGTCCAGAACCTAGTTGAGATCAAAGTGTTTGGGCAACCTCACCAATTGGGTGAGGAACATCTTCTAAGCCTGGCATTATGGACTGAGAACCTCATGACCAACAAGCTAAGAAAATGAAACACCTTGGGAGCAATTGAAGACCTATATGTCATGGCCACTCCTAAATCTCTGCATTAGGTTTTCCTCTACTTTCATGGATAATGGTTTATTTTGATGCAAACTTGAGTTTGTAGAATGAGTCTAATCAAGGTGGTTTTTTTTTTTTTTGTTGTTGTTGTTTAATAACATTAAAATTTTTGTTCACATGAAAAGAAAGCAAATTTACAAAATAAAAAAATAAATAAATCATACCCGCCTTTAGCTATACTTTGAAGGAATAAAAGAAATCATACCAAATGTCAGTTATACCCCACTGGAAATTAGGGGAAATAAATAAGTCTTTAATTTTAAATAATTACTGCTTTGTAGATTAATATTTTAAGTATGAAGTCACCTCATCTTTGATTAAAAAAAAAGAAGAAAAAATCACTGTCATATCTGGGCATAAAAAATATACCCCATGAAATCTACTTTTCTTGAGTAGTAAAGCAAAAGAGCTAGGGGAACAGTTGGAGAGTATTTTATTTTACAACAACACAAGTGTGCTGATAATCTGGAGTATCAGGCCCATCTGTAAATTTCCCTAATTTGCCATGTCTTTCCCTAACACTACCAATATTGTGATAATGCCACATGCTCTTGAGTACCTGCTAATGCCAGGCACAGGGACAAAAATCAGGCACAGACAGGGTGAGCTAATGTGAGATTGTAAGTCTGAGGACTGTGGCATTGTCTCCAAATAACCCCCAATTATCACCATCTCACAGTATTTACTTGTGACAATCCAGAAAAGTCACCAGTTTAGGTGGCATGAGCTAATTTACTTGATTAATTCAAATCTATCGACTTTCCCCCAAATAGTGCTTGTCTGATTTTTTTAAAGAATTTCTATATTCTAACATTTCTAATCTTATTGTCCTTCCCTGGGAATCTAGAAATACACACACACACACACACACACACACCTATACCTGAGATTGAACCCAGGGATATTTAACTACTGAGCCACATCCCCAGCCCTTTTATTTCATTTTAAAATTATGAGACACGGTCTTATTAAGTTGCTTAGGGCCTCCCTAAGGAGTACTCCCAAGGCTGACCTTGAACCTGCGATCTTCTTGCCTCAGCCTCCAGGTCACTGTGCCACCGTGTCCAGCTCTTTTCATATATAATTTAGAGGAAAAAACTGAAGCAGTCTCAGAATTAATTGCAGCAAGTGATTTCACCAATCTTTGTTGACTAACAAGCAAGTATACATTGAAAGGACAGATTGCATCAAGTGATAATTTCTTATTGAAATAAAAAGGCTTTGCCTTATTCTTCCACACCTATTAAGGTAACTGAGTGGCATCATTACGGGCTTACTTGCAAGCCTGTGTCTCCTTTTTGAAACCCTAGTTATTGTCCTCAACTGCACAGTTCACACACAAGTATGTATCCAACAGATACAGTGAACACTCTCAAAAGTGCAGTTTTTATAACAAGAACTGCCACTATGTTGACAAAAATTAGGTATAATATGTAAGAAATCTTGACTGTACATCTAAAGTAGGGATGGCAGTAATAGTGTTCTTATCTATCTTAACATTTGATTATTTAGAAATTATTTTCATTATCTCATTATATTTCTATGATATTAAAAAACAGTTTTTAGTGTTAAATTGATCAAATCATATGAAACCTGAACTCTTGACTCAGACTTTGAAGGTACTATAATTTTTTTCACCTTAGTTTCAAACAGGGTACATCTTGAACGCCTTACTGGGGTTTTTTTTTTTTTGGTTGTTTCTACATTATCAGTGCCCAACATGTCTGACCCATGATAGTATATTTTGTTGAAACAAAATAAACACAATTCCATTCAAATCAGGTTGGTCTTCATTCTACATATGAATCCATGTCTATTAATTTTGGATCATTTACTAGGAGTACATTTCCCTTGTCACCCTGCCTACTTCATTCCTTTTTTAAAGTTTACTTCCAGTAACAATTCATCTTTAAACCCTCATTACTTATTATTCCATCATAATTCATCCTTTCAATCATATATTTTCCAAGCATTTATCCAGTTACAGTGCCAGTCCAAGTTCTGTGTCAGATGAGTTGCAGATCCATGATCTGAAGAGTTTATATTTATTTCACTCAACTTTGTGCTTAAATAGTATTATCTGGAGCACTATCATTCCCTGAATAGATTCTAAGCAACATGAGGTTAGGAAATAGCCCTGTTCTTATCCAGCACCCATGGTTACCTAGCTTGCCACGGAGCAGAGGAAATGTTTAAAAAGCTTTTCTATCTATTGGATTCTTTTCTAAATTCTAAGGACGTATTTAGAAGTTTACTGCATTTCAAAAATAAATTCAAAATTGAACACTGAGTATGACCCTTCTATTAATTATCATATTTACTCCCATATTTCTCGGCTATTTTTTGCTGTAACTTGGAGAATGGGAATCCTGCCAGCATCTGGATTTTCCACCTTTGGTAACCCTCATTAATCTTTGTGATTATGGTCACCATTTACCAGGAGCATCTAAAATTACACCACAATTACGAGGAATATTAATTGGAAACTGAATTTTTTTTTTACTTTGTCTCATTTATTTGCAAAGCTTTAATAATTTAAATACAGGATTACTTTTTAGGAAAGTGGCAGTTTTTCAGAAAATGATCAAAAATAAATAAGACAAAGAAATAAATGTACAAGTAATCAAAGAGAAATGTTTATACTTTCTTTTTTTTAATTTCTAGACTCAGATTCATACCTTCCACAAAGCTGGAGGAAAATGAAGAGCAAGATGGCCGCATCCCAGTCTGTGGAACCCATTTCCCCAAAGCCTAAGCTTCCTTGGAGACCACCTTGTCTCAACTTAGGCAATTTCAGGAATGTAACAGAGATCTAAGAAGAGGGTGTCACAACAGCAGCTTACCTGTGATGAAAGGACAGATGCATTCCTTTCTTTCATTTTCCTTCACTCTAGCCAGTGGCAGCCACTGCCTCAGGTTTTATTTACCTTTCCTCAGGCCTGATGAGGACATTATGTTCTTAAGAGATCCCTTAAGGTTGTTTCAAAGGAACAAAAGAGTAGCGAGCAAAAGAAAAAATCATTATAATGAAAAAAATGTTTTCCTTTATCTCCTATTTTTTTTTTTTTGGTATGTTTTTGAGAGATGTGAAGGAAAGAAAAGTACACCATTTTCCCCCTAGAATAAGATTTTGGATCATTGCTGCATTTGATTACATATTTCTGCAAACTCTGTGTTCTTGAAGAAAACTATATTTTCTCATGTTTTTTTTTTAATGGATGCCTGTGCCAAAATTTGGCTCTCATTTCACAGCAGAAAGGAGAGACTGCATAGATCCCAAAACTATGAGCTGTATGCGTTCCTCCTGCAAACTATCCCCTAATCAGGCATCAAAAGTGTCTCATTTTTGAGGTTATATTAAATCTTTTTGTATTTCCCTTTCTGTCCTAGATGTTACATGTCAGGATGCAGCCAGAATAGGTGTAACATACCATAGAGACTGTTGTTTGGTGCAGAGGGAGACACAGAGTTTGATCAACACCTGCTTGCTGAGGTGGGCTGGAGCCCAGGAGAGCTGCTGCAGGGATAGGAACAGAGTCTGGCAGGAAATGTGTAATATTTAGGGGACATTGATTCAGAGATCCCTAGAGTGCTACAAGAAAGAGTTTGAAATTGAGAAGGAATCAAGTAGATGCACATTCTGACTCTAACATTAATTTTCATTGGAGTTCTTTAAGATTTCATTTGAAAAAAATAGAATTCTGTTGCAAGAAGAAAGAAGAAAAGGAAAGAGAATAATTAGATGATGATGATGATGATGATGATGATGATTTTGGGACTGGGGAGTAATCCAGGGGTGCTTAACCACTGAGCCCCATCCACAGCCCTTTTTTGTATTTTATTTAGCGACAAGGTCTCACTAAATTACTTAGGGCCTCCCTAAGTTGCTGAGGCTTGCTTTTAAATCATGATTCTTCTGTCTTAGCCTCCAGAGCTGCCGGTATTACAGATGTGCGGCACCATTTTAATAATTATTGAGACAGTTTAAAATAGGATAGTCTGGTTCACAATATGTCATCCATATTATCTGTGCTTGGCACATAGTGGGCATTTGGTGCATAATTCAGCAATTTCATTTAAAAATTGTCTGAATAAATAAATGAAATAAATAAATGAAAGTATCACAGATCAGTTGTTAACAGGTGAGCTGAGACTATGTAATGGGATATAGCAACAGATAAACAGAGAACAGTATTGATTAATTCAAAAGGTAAAAAGGCAGACAGGTAGTGCCTAAGTCTGCTGACTGGAAGTAAGGTCCTAGACATTGGGGCACATTCTGGGGCCTGGGAGAGGGCCTGGGTAGAGGAGGGCAGGCTGAATTATGACAGCAGACAAAGCAGGGATTGACCTAGCACTTGCAGCAAAATAGGAATGCAGTTTTCAAAGGTGACACTAGGCTAGGGGCAGACTTTCAGAAGGGAGACTCAAGTACTTAAGTTGGTCCCACCTAATCTGATAGGCTCTGGGAGCTGGGGTGAATTGGCAAACAATCTCAGTCATGATTAGAACTTGGGGACAGAAGCTAAAATCCAGCCTGGGTTTTCACTTAATCTCTTTTCCCATGTTACCAGCAATAAACTCAGTTTCCTAAGTTTATTCGGCAATTTCTTTTATCTTTAAAAAGGTTTCATTGGGGAAAAATCACAGCTGGGTAAGGGAAAAGGTGACTTTTAGAGGCAAGAGAAAGAATTGAGGGAGCTCTATAAGCCATTTCACATCTCACATCGAAGAGTTTGAAAGCCACTGATACAATACCTACCAGGTAACTTCTTCACATTCACAGTTATCACGAGTGAATGAAGTAAATTAACTTTCTGGACAAAAAGTCTGATCACACAAAACAAAATGTTCTTTATCAGAGTGCCATGAAATATGGAGCATTCTCTACAATGCAATAATACAGTATTTACCAAGAAGATTAAGATTATACTTTTATTTAATTAATGTTTACTATGAGACTGTACATGCTCATGATAAAATATTTAAACAGGGTAGAAATAAAGTAAATGTGGTCTTCTTCCTTTGTTCAGTATCATTCACAAGAATGTCAAAAAGTGTATTATAAATGGTTTTAAAAATATTCTATAAATAAGCAAATGTATGTGTTTGTATTTTTCTTACACAAGTGGAATCATAACATATTGAAGTTTTGCAACCTGTTTTCTGTAAATAATATTTCTTGAACTTCTTTCTATGAAGGGACATATTGATCTACAGATCTACTTACTACATTAATCTATATAATATTCCATCTTCATGTAAGTTGTATTGTAATAAACATTCTTTAGCATGTTATCTGTCCATTTATGTGAGTATGCCCAATGGATAAATTTCTAAAGGTGAAATTATTAGATTGAAAGGGCATACACTCTTATTCATGAGTTCCATAATAAATAAATAGCATTTTTATTTTTATTTAATTCTACACTATAAAAAGACAAACTATATTATTTTGCAGTACATATAAATGTTAATACTTCTAAAATTACTCATTTATATTATTAAACCAGAAAATACCATATCTGATAAAGAAAAATGACATCCTTACTAAAATGACATTCAGTATGATACATATTTTTAATTCTATTTTACAACAGCAAAAAAAATGGGTGGAAAAATAACACTAATACAGCAACATCTTCTCTTGAAGAGACAAGTTATTTATAGTTTAAACTGGAACTCAAATTTGAAGGTCAATGCTCTTTGTCAAAAGAAAACAACTATTTCACTCAAGTATTAAAAGTCTTTTTCTCTGTCTCTCTCCAGGGGTGGATACATGGCTAAATACAAGACAGGGTATAATATGAAAGAAGTCTTGCTGCTGAATGGATGAAGGGAGGAGAAGGTAGCTTGAATTCCTATAGCTAATGCCTTTGCAAAAGTGAGGCCTTAGATGCTCCCAGACTGGGCTTCAGACAAACTAGGAAAAATTAGCTCAGCTAAGTATGTTGAAAAAAAAAATCTGTCCCTTAATGATCCTTGGAAAATAGATGGTTTCCCTATTTTCCCTCAATGTGGAAAAGATGTTGCCATTATTCTGGAAGTTTGGGAAGTTTCTGAGTTCAAGGAACAATGAAAGTTTTCTTGAGAATGTACAATAACAGGGATCTTGCCGCAATGGCATTATCCTAAAGTAGCAGCAAGAGAAAACAAGAAGCAAAGGCTCCTCACAGGAACCTGTGCAGCCGTGGTCTTAAGCTAGGCTCAGGGCTGTGCAGACTGCAATGCTGCAAAGAGCAGAAGGGGGGAGTGTGACTTTCAACGCCTTGCCAAGAGCATAGTGTCCTGGGATACTGAGAGCAGGCCCTGGGCGGTTAAGGACATTAAGGTCAAGCACTTAACAATGTTAGAGAAAAACAATAGGTTTTGTTGTGGACCAGTGAAATATATACCTCTCTCTGTTTAGTCTGGAGGTTTGGGAAATAAGTCTTATATACACTAGCTAAAAATACAGTATATTCACCACACATATGTAATCTTTGACAACCCCAGTTTTAAGAATCCATATGTGAAAAATCCAAACTTTTTTTTTATATATATGATGGTTTCCGGTGTGTATGTTTTGTATTTCCATTGTGGAGTGGAACCCAGAGCTTCATGCATGCTAAGCAGGCACTCTCCACTGAGCTACACCTCCTGTCCTTTGGTGTATGTTCTTAAGTAAGAGAACAAAATAACTTTGCCTCGCTCTTCTGTCCCTGTCGGTGGGTTTAAATGTCAGGGAAAATAAGAGGGAATGTATTTCAATGATCAGAAACCAAGTCCAAGAAAACATATTCTTAAACACAATATTCATTTATAAAAGACATATTGGGGCTTATGAAATTGAAAGAAGGGCAAATGGGATGCCAAAAAAAATTAATATCATCCAAGACCAAATATTTCATTGAGAAACAAAACTTGTCGCCTGTGCAAATGGTCAGTCTGGTTTAGGTAAGTGACTATTAATAGTTAAAATTATATGTCCATAATGATTGCCATAATTTCTCCCCATCTCTGAAGCATTAGGTTTTTTTTTTTTCAGTCTGGATGCTTTACTGTGACATTCTGCATCAAGTATTTCATGATTATACCTTTTAGGACTAATTTTTATTTGCTGTATAGCTTTTAGAAACTACAACTTTGGTAAGATTGGGATCATTTTGATCTTCTGTGGCCCTCACCTTGCCTTTCCATTCCGCCTTGAATTTCTCAATGTAAGTAGTTTCAACCTTCCAATCAAGCAGCAACAAATTCAAACATAATTATGACAAATGCAGGGTCTGAAAACCCTGCCTGGTAATTGACATTGAAAGAGAATTAAAGCTTCTTACAGAATCACAGTTATTGTAATGGGGCCTGTACTGTTATACCAACTATGAAACTGTTCCATTCAATTCAACATTGAGGATGCAGGGCCCATTCTGAATTTCTTCTAATAAAAAATTTGTTTTTACCCACTCTATCAAAACTTAATAATGAGTTCTCTTACTTACCCAATATTGTGAAGAAATCTCAGATATTACTATATAGAGATTTCATCTTGTGAAGAAAAATCATAATTTGCTTTTACGCGTTCAACTCTCCATAAAGGCACAGCCTGCTCTGTCCCCAGCATGACTGCTGTGTGAACATGCTCCTGCCCCGACTTAGGACTATCATCATTCACGGTAAATAGACAAACCTCCTGACTATTCCCATACTTTTAATAGCATGCAAACTCTGTCCCTATTTTAATAAAGTCCCCATTTTAATAGCATGTCAAATCTAAAATGATCGAAAAATCATTCCAAATTGTTCCTTTATTGTTACTTCTTTTTCTTTTTCTTATCTTTTCTTTTTCTCCAGAGGCAGCAAAGTACTTTTCTTGTATAAACAGATTCTTCTTTTTGTCTACATAATAATTCTTAGTTTACTCCTGGTTTTTCCTTCCAAACCAACTGTCAGTGGAACATTTCCAGATTCTCTAATATTTCATTAACTCTATACTCTGCCTTATTCCTTTGAGGGTAGAGATAAAGTTTTAAAGGCTTTGTGGAAATGGGACAAGGTTTGAGGACAGAGAGGGGTCCTACCTCATGTTTCATAGTAAAAGGGACCTGAATGAAATTTCTTCCTAAGTTTTACCTTTTGTACCCCTAATTTTAAGTGCTTGTTCATAGAAAGGTAAACACCCAGAATCCTTACAATAAAATATCAGTTTTGCTTGAAGCCTGTCTTTGGAGGCATGCCACTTGGAGTGTTTCAAGGATCTTGTTACAATATAGTTGCATTTATAAGAAACCCCTATGCACAAATTCTGTGCTTCCAGCCTCCATACTGGGACCCATCAACAGCTTCAAAACAGAACTGAACCAGTTGTAGTTTGATTTATTAAAAGTGGAGAGAAATAGAACATTTCTTTGCTGGCACTGTGCAGAAAACATCAGCTTGTTTTCTCTAACTGTTGTCCTATTTATGTTGCAGCCAGCCTCAGAAAATGGTCCGGCTCCTTACTACTCCCACACAATATAAGAGCTTGTTTCCAAAGAGCAGAGAAAATTGACTAAGATCTGTGGTTAGATGACAGATGGATTCTGTTGCATTGCCAGAGACATGAAATTGCAGGTGACACCTGATATATGATAATAAAGAGCACCCAGCCAGTAATCAGCCCTTGGCCTTTATTTTTGTGATGTCATCAGCATGCAGGTGGCTTACCTGAGATTCTGAACAAAATACTGCACATTGTCAAGAGGTTCACATGGATGACTTTTATCTCCCCATCTGTGTGATCTCCATTGTGATGAGTTTGGACAACAGCCATTTCTAACTCTATTTTGGTTTGTAAAAGATTATTAGAAAGTTGTCTGTGCTCCTGTTTGTCCTGCTCTGTTCTTTATCTTAAAAAAAAAAATCTGAAACCAATGAGATAGTTCCATTATATTAATTGTGATAGCATTATTTGCAGTGGTAAATTTACACAATTTATAGTATTAGCTATATTTGGGAAGGGGGCTGTTAACTTACTACTGATCTCTACTAACACACAAATAGTAGAAGTAGTATTATCTGGTAATGGTAATAATATTATAGCAGAGTGTGGTTGGACAATGAAATTATAAGTTTTCAAAAGATAAAAAGAGTTAAAAGTCTTCTAAATAAATTTCTATATGTAAATATTTTATCTGCTTCAGAGCAACATGATAAATAGCTATACAAATGTGACGAGTGGATTCTCATCAGAGTCCCAGAAATTATTCTGTTAACGTCTGTTGAAATGACCCATGATAGAATGTTGGCTAAGCATAAGGTCTGATTCCCTATGTATGTAACTTTCACAAGTGACTCTTAGGAGCACATTATATCACCTTTTAATGATTTTTCTTATCAGTTTGCTAAGTCATGCAATAGTTCCTAAAATAAAAATCAATATACATCATGCAGACTGCCTTGGTTCTGATATAGAAAAATCCCAAGTGAGAGAGAACTAAACTCAGGGATGAGATTGCATTTGGCTTAATTACAGACATATCTACTACTCCAATGTGCATACACATACACACACATACATATACATATATATATACACATATGTACAGACACAATGTCTGATATATATGTATATGTATGTACATATACATACACATGTAAAGCATTGGATGATTTATATGTAATGCATGTCCAATGCTGATCCTATTCAACTATTCAATTGCTTCCATGAGTACTGATTTCAGATAATCAAAAAGACATCTCTCAGCTAGAAATTGCTACAAGTCCCATGTATTATAATTAATATATAATGCATAATACATAAGTATACATAGGATAATAAATAATATATAATATGTATATATTACATATATATTATGATATAATATATACAATGTATAATATAATCTTTGTAAATTTCACCACTGCTTCCAAATGCAAAACTGAAAAATGATCAGAACCTCATATCTATAATATATGTTCAGTAATAGTGATTTTTCATACTTAAATTATTTAAAACATATTTGTGATTAGATTTCAAATTAATCACTGAAATGAGTGAATGAAATAGAAATAGATATGAGTACATTTACTTAATTTGAAAATTTAAGTGCTGAAAACAAACTATATTTTTTAAAAAAAGGTATTCGAGTTGAAAGACAAAATACAGATAAATGGTGTTCTAAAGTAGTTTATTTTGAGGAAAACAAATGTCCAAATAATTTATTAGAAAATTGACATATGGGGCTGGGGTTGTGGCTCAATGGTAGAGTGCTTGCCTAGCATGTGTGAGGCACCAGGTTCAATCCTCAGCACCAAATAAAAATAAACAAACAAAATGAAGGCATTATGACCAGCTACAACTAAAAAAATAATTTTTTTAAATAATGAAAAAAGAAAATTGACATCTGAAGTAAGATATTTTATTTTAAAATTCATGCTTTGTAATACATTTCTTTTGGAGCCCTGAGCCTTAAAAATGGGCAGCAATAAATATACTACATGAACTTATTTTCCCTTATTCATTTTATATTTGTGTGTAAAACCAAAATTATGTAAAAATGTCTTACTTCACCATGAAAACTATGTGAATTTCTCTGCCTTTTATTAATACCACCATATATCTCTTTGTTTTGCAGATGACTCCTAAAAAATTCACGTCCTCCATAAATCCATCTTAGATTGATCAGAAAGAGATTAATGATTTCTACTGGAACCAATTTATCTCAACCTTGAAGTTTAAGTTCTACTCCCCTTGTTCTTCAATCCCCAACAAAAAATTTACACTTGATTTCTTTCCAACTTGCAAATGGCCAGAACATACTGTGAATAATTTTAATGTCCCTGTATGCCTCTGTGTAACATTCTTATTTTGTAGTATAAATCTTTTTCTCTGTTTTTATGTATCATTGCAACTTGATTCAGATTCTAAATTTGACAGATAGGAATTCTCAGACTGCAGGATAGGCATCATGTAGCAAAACTTCATCAATTTATTCACAATTTATTCTACCATGTACTAGAAATTGACCAGGAAGTTGGAAATACAAAAATGAGACACAATGCCTTCCCTTAACATGTTCGTGTGAATGGAGAAATGATGTAAACAACTGTGTATAGCCTTTATTACATAGCCCTGAAGTTGTAAAAATTCCCAAATCTCAGTATCTGATTTAATTTCTTTCATTAAATATTGACTTGGTGGCTATGCATTGACTATTGCTTTCCCCCCACCCCCACATCTTTTCCATTATAGGATTGAGAACCAAGGAGAAGCCTCATTTGAGACATGCCATTTTTTGTAACATATGGAAAAAAATCTTAAATCTCCTTTGTGATATATACATAAACTCCATTCAACTTCCATTAACCAAAGCAAGTCATGTATCCAGGCATGGTAGCAACATAGCAAGAAAATATACTCTTCCCATAGAAAGGCACTTTGAGTTACAGGGCAGCAGGTAGGAACGGAGAATTCTCCTACAGGGTGAAAAACAAATTGGAAATAAAATATAATTTATAATAAATTTGGTGTAAAACAATGCAAGCAAATATGAAATGTATTCCAAATCATAGAAATGGGGCCTTGAACATATATCATTTGAGGGAAAAAAAGTGGTACTTGAGCTGGGTCTTAGAGATGGAGTGGGAGTTTGTAAGGGCAATAAGATGGGAAAGGTATTCTAGATAGAAGGTAAAGATATGCATTTGCAAAGACACAAAGGCATGAAGAATCCATCTTGTTCAGGAAATGGTGAGCTGTTTAGCAGAGTTGCAAACTTAGATTGTTTGTGATAATAACAGTCTGAGGTGAAATGCAATCTAGCAAACTTTGACGGACATGTTTAGAGTTCCCATGAAGGTTTTTGCTTGAAGTTGGGGTACCAGAGATTGAACCCAGGGGCACTTAACCACTAAGCCACATCCCAGTCTTTCTTCTTTTTTTTTTTTGTTATGAGATGGGTCTCACTATGTTGCTGAGGTATAATTTGAGCTTGCAATCCTCCTGCCTTAGTCTCCCAAGCCACAGGGATCATAAGTGTGAGCCACCATGTGTGGTTGAAGGTTGATTTTTAATAGAGTGGTGTCCCATACAACCAATTTTGGGCCAATATGAGATGATTAACTTCATCTCATATTCTCAATTGTAAAATGGAATTTTGGGTCAAATTATATGTAAAATTCTTTCCAAGCTATTATTGCCAAGATTCTGTTGTCTTCAGTTACTCAATTTAGTTGATTTTCCATTCATAATACAGATTTTCAAGATTTCACTTCAAGATTTGCATTTCCCCAAATCTCAAAATTGAAGCAAAATTTTCTCTTTTCTTGAATAAGGGTCCATAATAATTATTCAAAAACTATATGTATGTCTTGATGTATGCCAACAAATCCAAAATCTGCAAAGCAGATTTTGGAATAATTATATTTGGAACTGTACTAAGTCATTTTTAAACAAAATGTATCAGTGAAAAATATTCATTCAGCAGAAATCTTCTCAGTATTGATCTTAATTTTTCAGTGCTTATTTTCTATGAAGTAAAATTGAATTTTATATAAGTAGTAAATGTATTTATATTAATTTTCTATATGTAAGTGTTTGTAAATAGAAAAAAAAAACACATTGAATTAGATAAATACATTCAAGTTTGACCAGGTTATATTCAGGTAACAAACAATTCTTAAATCTCAATGGTTTACAACATCAAAGGTTTGTTCTCAGTTTACCCAAAGACCACTTCCAGTCCAGGTAATTCTCAAAAATAGCCATACTAGTGGACTGGTCAGTATTTCTGGTGGCTTTAACATTCCAAAACACTTTTTATCAATATGCATTTCACCATTCTGTTCACAGGATAAAGTGTAAATGGGAGAGTGGAATACCAGCAATTAAGTCCTTCTACCAAGAAGTGGCATTGGTCATCTCTGCACACCATCACATCTACCCTTATTTCATTGCCCAGAGGAAGTCACAAGTCCCTGCTTACTTCATGGATACAGACACAGGCTGTATTCCTAGTGTTTCCAAAAATAGAAAATAATCACAGTACTGTTGCAGAATAGCATTAATGACTTCCATCTAACATGGAACAAACAAGAAGTTAGCATTTGTTTACTGCCTACCATGTGCCACATTGAGTTAGGACCTTTCCTATTTAACTTAATGAATGTTCAATCACACACACACACACACACACACACACACACACACACACACACACACCTTTTTGGCATAATAGAGTATGGCCATTTTGCAAAATGAAGAAAACAAAATAGTAACAAAAATTAAAATGATGCCTTAAATCTGTCCCCAAAGATAAGAAGAATTTAACTTATGAATTATTATTCCAAGACCTATGTTCTTTGTATAATTGTGTTATATTTGAATGTCTTTGCAAACTTATACACGTAATAAATAAAAACTATTATTCGTATACATATCACTTAAGAAAGCAAGTAGAAATTCTTTTGGTTATAACTTTCTTCTTTCTTGAAAACAAGGTTTAGAAAAACTTCTTATTAAAGTAATTAAATATCAGAGATTATCTGATTCACATGCCGTTGAGGAAATTTCCATATTTCGTTCTAACTTTTTTGAGTGTTCTGAATCTGCTCTTTTGGAAATTATAAACATCAGACTCACTGGCTACAAATTCATCCTTTTTGTGTCTTTCATCCATCAATGGCCATAAGAATTAAAAATGGAGCCCAGTTCAGCATAAAATGTGAATCTAGTTACATGAGCCTTTTTTTAAGCTCAATGATAAGTAAAGAGCATTCATACCCATTGAATATCTTATCTCCGTGTTTCAATGAGGTAGGATGATGGTCTTGCAAGAGAGATTATTCAACATGGTCTATAGATTTTATTTTTAAGTTGAAAAAGTAACCTGCAATATGGCAAGGATAATGGTTTCTATATACTCTTGAAGGCAGTCAATAGCTCTATAAAAAGACCAAGGAATGCATTGCCCCTTTCTTCCCAAAATGACTATTATGATTTTTTAAAAAACCTGAATCGACAATAGATTTAGTTTGCATATATTAATATTCACCCAAATTGTCTATTTTGGATATTAAAAAATAAGGATAGGATTTGTGCATATGAAACAAGCTCTTTCTGTGTTGCTGAAATTCTTGAATAAGTTCCACTGATTGTGTCTCCCTTTCTCTGCATCAGAACATGCCTAAGAGAAATGAAGAAGGAAAGGGTGCAAATCTCTTCTTATGTAGTAAAAATAAGATTTATTTTAAAGCCTTAGAAGATAGCATAACTCAAAAAATTACTAATATTCAGAATTTCTAATTGACTATGTTTCCTAAGCATTAATCATTTGGATATGTTCTCAATATTTTGTGAAGGAAAAATTATTCCTGTTAACATACTTGTTAAAATACAAAATGATGAAAGATCAAAACAGAAAAAAAATTTTAGACACTTAATATATGTAAGGAAATGTAATACATTTTTGAACTATCAGGTTTAGATAATTTTGGCAACTCATATGAAATTCAATATAATAGAAAATAGCCACAATGAAATTAAAGGTAGTGAGTTTCTTATCACAGGTGTTAAAAGATTAAATTAATTAATTAAAATAACGTTATGCAAATATTAAAACCTTGAGTCATGTTATTTTAATGAAAAAATTATTCAAAAAAGACTGTTATACATTAAAATATTCATTAATTGTTCTCTTTGATCATTGAGCTGTCTATATTTTATCACTTATTTTGTATTGAACTGCAGTTATGATTTCTGATCTTTCCAAAAAGTCCAAGAAGATAGGTGTTGTTATTCTTACTTATGGATAGCATTTAATAGAGGTTAACATTATGAATTATCATGCCCAGGTTGATGGTGAGCAGAGATCCAAACCTTCTTCTGAGTGGTTCTAATATCTGAGGTCTTTGTGAATCATCACAGTCCTTGCAGATAATGGCACTCTAATGACCCAAGTCATAAAGGGGCCAGTCAGTAATTTTACAGCCACTTTTTATAGTTATGTTTTTCTCTCTAGAAAATGCTTGCATTTTTCATATCCCCTTTCATCTGTTGGCATTGGTTTTTGACCTAATTGAGACCACTGTTAAATTTTTCAACTTGTTTAAAAAAATTTTAATCATCAAGTATATATTAATATTTAGCAATTTATCCTTCTGTGTACTGAGGGTAAATGATAATAAAATGTTTTTCAAAAATATCCTAACATTCTTTGTTCCTCCTTCCTTTAAGAAGTACAGTCTATGTCTCCTTCTTGAATTTAGGCTTAGTAACTGCTTGACCAATAGAATACGATTCTGTGCCTGAACAGAACAAGAAGTTAAGGAATGGAGCACTACTACTTCCTGTCTGGTATGACATGGAGAGGCTGTGACAGTCTCAGCTGAGATCACAAAGTCAACAGTCAGCAACAGCCACCAAACCTGGGAGAAAAGTCTTTTGAAATGATGCCAGCCCAGGCTTCAATCAAGAACTGTCCAGCCAAACACAGTCAACTCCCAGAACTGAGAGAAAGAATAATAATGCAATTGTTGCTGATTTGAGATTTAAGTTGACCCATTATGCAGCAAAACAGTGAAACCGGGAGCTAAAAATCAAAATCCTTAACAAACAAAACATTAGTATAAAATGAAGACATAAAAAATAAATGACATGAAAAATGTTTCATTCCTCAAAATAACCTTAGGAGAAAGTACAATACTTGTATGGGAGAAATGCATTGGTTGGCTGATGGGTGTACATTAAAAATATAAAGTGTGCCTATTTCCAAAAGGGAGGCATGTTTTGACCCCCTTGTGAGAAGTAAGGCGGTTCTGTAGTGCTGAACAGAGTTGTTAGGGAATTCCAAGTGCACTGTGGTTAGAAGGGGTGTTTCTCAGTTCCTGTCTACAGATACTAATACCAGTTTTAATTTGTTTCTTAAACTACTTTCGCCAGATTCTGTGGATTTCAAAGAAATCCCTGCTCAGAAGAGACTTTCAAGTCTCTGTTTTCTCTAGGCATCATAATTCTCTTTGGCTAACAATATGATGGACAGGAGAAGGATGTGGGGAATTCTAGGAATGAAACCAGGTGCCACTGTTGGAGAGGCTGATGCCAGTGAAATTTCTTCAGGCTGAATTGTGTCTGTCATTGAGGGATATGGCACATTCTTTTAGGAAATTTTAAAATATTCCAATATTGGTTTCAAATAAGTTCAGAGA